TAAGTAATTTTCTATAATTTGCCAATGTATTTAAAATTTATTATGTAAGTTAATTAGAAGAGCTTCATAAACATAATTAAGATCATATTTTATAAAAATATCAAGAATCTTAATAGGCAAATATATTATTAAGAATTTGACACTAATTTATTTAAAATCTTTGTTAATTTAATTAAGTCATTTTTTGAGTGTATAGCGATTAAAATATAGGGCTTAAATAAATATCAAAGTTTGAAAATATTAGATGCTTACCTCTTGTGAGCTCTTTCAACAGTCAAATATGCAAAATATATGACAATTCACTGAAGTCAGTCCCTTTTATATACGGCACTCTTCAAACTGGTTTAAACACGGCAATGCAAGTTAAAACATGATTGCTGCAGCAGGCTCGTAATCGCTTTTCTTGGAAAGCTCATTGCAGGTGCTTAAACAAAAAGCGCTCTGATATCCAAAGTCATCTGTTCGGGTTTAATCCGTGTATTGAACCAGTGTTCCAGATTTAAATATAAATATATAAACACATATGTACAACACACAAATATATGTAGAAGCACACACAATACATGCACACATCTTCTCTATCACAAAGCTGTGTAACCACGCACACACTCATCACACTACTTGTATCAACTGCCTGTAAGCATTGTATCATCTTATAACAATGCGCACAGAGGCGACTGCAGGAATGTCTACCTATCTTAATTTATAAAAACATTAAAAAATTTTATTGTCATCCTGCAAATGAGCTAATTCTCACTACATGTAATTACCAAACTACACTGTTTCTTTTCTTGATTTTTCTAGGTTTTAATCAGTTGACACCAAGGTCTTTCCCTTTACTGGAATTGAATGTTTGTTTCATTTGTGCTTGATAAAGTTTTCTGTGTCACAGAATCTATACAACTCTGACACTTGAGAAGTATTTTGTTCCTTTTAGTTATGCTCATGTATTCGCATTTCAGTGAGTCATGGCTAACATTGAAGGACAATTCTTACGTCCTGTTAGTTGTTGATCACAGATGTTTCAAAGCATCTTCTTGACTATATCAATTGTTTAGAAAGTTTGTCCTTATTTCTAAGATTTTTGAAATACATTATTCCAGTCCACTCCAAAACTTTACCGTTTCTTTTTTCTTCAGGTGGCAAAAGTTATGTGAACCCATCACCTTGTTTTTAGACTTGGGATTTTTTATAATGGGTTCATTTTCTTTTTATAATTTTTTGATTGTACCATCTTTTCAGTTTTATAAACCTGGCTCAGATAACTCATCAACTAAGTGTCAAGGTGATTTTACAATTGACAAATATTAGGTATGTTTACCATTTACTGTATCTCACAGTTATATGCTGTTTCGCTGTCAACCTCTAGTTTTGCATCTATGTATTAGCATGAGTGATGGGTACTTTCAGTCAGCATGGGTCCATTCTCTTTCTCTGGACATACTTCTTCAGCTCAAATCCAAACCAAGCCAGTTTTTAAACTGCTTGCTCTCTTAAACTGAGACTGTCATCTGTTTTGCAGATGTAAGTCATTACCAATAAGGTGTTTATGAACTCATTTGACTAAATTAGAAAGGTTTTTATAATATTGATGTAGTGCATGATATACTGTCTACACCCTGCAGAGATTGACTCATTGCTCCTCTATGGTCAAGTAAATCTTGGTTCCAACCACTTCCATAAGTATAATGTTGTAGACCCTCCTCCTAAAGATCTATTTTGTATGATAAAGTGTTATATATTTGCTCTCACATTCCCTTTTTCTTTTAGACTGCAGTGTGTCAGAATTTTTCTGTGCCTCCATTAAGACAGTTGTTTTCTTAATCTTTCTTTACATATCATTTTTCTTCTTACTTTTTATTGTGGTAGTCAACTCCATAGTTGATACATCTGTGACATTACATAAGACCCTTTTTACCTTGGACACTTACATCTTTAACTTATTTTGTGATACAAAGTTATTTATCTTCCTTCCTTTTACTGCAGCATGACATGTATAACTTATTATGCTTTGTTTATTGTTATTAATGCCATTCTAAATCTTTTTTTTCTTTTCTTATCCATGTTTTTCTATGAAGGTCTACAACTTAAAGGTTAAGATTCTTCTCTGCAAGGTTTAGGTAGAAGATCTTTGATACCTTGCAATGGCCTTTTCATCTTGTTAAATTCAACTTGAGATACTGCAGACTATCGCATTTGACAGGCACCATTTTACTGATGCTTGTAAGTGCTATTAAATGGGTTTTGTGAAGGCTCACTGGAGCCCCCATCAAATCTGATCATGATGCTTACTGTTCACACAATCACCTGTTGTTTTTTTTGTATGGAACAAGCTCACAGATAACTTTGTGTGACCCTGTTGGCTGCTACAACTCCAGTACTTTAATTTTAAATAGCCTAGACTAGTGGTGTTACAAGCACAGCAATACAATGTTTTCAAACTATAT